TCCAGCTTCCAGCAACAGGGGAGACCAAGGATCCAGGGCCAGTTCCTGGACAGACTGAATGTATAGGCTGTTTATTTGAGGGATCCGTATTGTATGTATGCATATTTTTCCATTTAACATACCTTCAACCTGATCAGCCAGGAAAAGAAACTGGATAAGGCTGATGATGATGTCCATGCCTGCAAGGGTGCTGCATGTTTCTGCCTGTGCTGGTCTGTGTAGTCAGCTATGTTTGCATGTGTGCTCATCTGTGTTGGGAATACATGCTGAGGCTCACCTCTGGTTCAGCCTGGGTACAGGAAGGAGAGGCAGCATTGCTTCTGTCACGCTACCAGATCTGGCAACCCTTGTTATTTTGTTCTGTGGATCTAGTCAGACATTATTTGAAAGGCAGATATAAGACTGCTTTGCACATGTTCTAAGAATTACTAAAATCCTTTCAGATCTGTTCCCAGCCAACTGGAAACAACAAAATTGTTGTTATTATTACCTGTACACTGTGAAGGCATTAGTAGCAAAGGTGCTTGCTGTGAGCTTCTGGGCAGCTCTGAGCGAGCACGCTGAGCTTAGAACTGTCTGCAAAATGCTCTGCGAAATACACCCTGCATTATCAGGCACAGTGTGCCAACAAACCTGAAGAATGATCCTTTTCTTTAAGAGCTGCTAATTTGAGGGCAGTAGTTCATCATATGCTTTAAACAGCAAAGTAGCTGAAAGATACACTCCCACTCTTCTCACCCACACAGCACACTTGCTCTCCTACGTCTCACCCATCTATTTCCCTTCTCCTTGCGTGGTGAACACAGGTGTACTGTGTGGATGTGTAGTGAACAGATCCAGTGAACTGAGACAGATTAAAGCTAAGCTGGCAAAGAACAAGCAACACATCATTCTTTTTAGTGCATATCAGTTTCCCAATTAAGTTCACACTTGTGGCAGCCTGAGGGAAGGGTTGGTAAAGGTGTGGGAATGAATGGCTGACTGAGCAGAATGACAGCTGTTTCTTTCAGGAGCAATGTGGGCTTGTGCAGGTTTAAAGCATATGCAAAACTACAGCCTGGGGTGCTTAGTTCAAGATTTTCCAATCATGTAAAGTAGAAAATACCAAAAAAAAAATGATGAGTACTGCATACACATTAAAAAATGAAACCTAACAGATTTTCAGTTAAATGCAAAAAAATATATATTAAAACCATAGAAGAATGTGTAAGAGAAGGTAAAAAGACAGTCGCAGTCTACTGATGGTGAAACAGAATTTTGCATAAGAGAACAAGTTCTGGAACAAAATTGCCAGACAGAAATCCCACTTGCAGTCACTGATGGAGGAGCCAGGGTTTGCCAAGAACGAATCCACCAGTAACGAAGTGTAATTTGGAAGAAGTAAACATTACTCCACCACTCTGGGTATTATGGAAAACTTGAAACACTAAGAATTGAAATAAAATGAAAAGCAGGTGTAGCGCACAGTGAATGGAGTCCCAGTAGAATATGTTGAATTGCATATCCTATTGCAAGCTGATAAGCCATCCTCCCTCAGATGAGGAGGAGGCTGTATGGAGGTGAACACAAGCACTGCAGAATCTAACTACAGCACAAAAAAAGCCTACCAGCTCTCGAAGAGTGTGTACAGTACTCCCTAAGTGACAAGCGGTAACATACCACCCATAGTGAAATCTTCCAAGAAACAATAGACAATGCCAGTGCAGAAAGTCTTTAATTATTTATTTGCATCCAAAAACAAACAAAAAAAAAAAACAACTAATTATTGAAGTGGGACGTGTATATAATAAGATGGAAAGGGCTATTTTTTCAACTCTATGTTTGTACCTTGCAAATTAAACCACATGAAAGAGACTCTGATGACTGCAAGCATGCATTTGGCAACAAGTCATAAAAAGCAATCCAAAATTAGATTTTGTATACATTAATCTAAAACAAAACAAAGTAAACAAACCCACAACACAAAAAAGCCAACCTACTTTGTCTCAGCTAAAACATGGATTGCCATCACCAATGTATTCACCCAGAACAAGATATTCCCACACCTACTTTCAGTTTAATGGTAAGGGGGGATGTTCTTAACACCTCCTCAGATTTTTACCTAAGATATCTGAGATATTGCAAAAAAGTATCTCCAAAGGCTACACAAACTGTCACTTAGCAATTAAAAACAAAGGTCTGAGGGAAGGGTCAGAAACATCTTATGTCTCAAACAAAAAGCTGGAGACTCAAAAAATTGCTTCTGCAACTTCTCCCCATATGTCAAAAATAAAGACAAGCAAGAAAAAATTCTGCAGTTATGATGAAGGAAAAATTAACCCCCGAGACAACATTGTTTTATTATTTTTTATTTAATTAAGTTGTCAAAAATGTTAGGGAATAGCCTAAAACTATTATTTCTACTTCTCAGTTATATATTTATATATCTTTAGTGAAACTCAAGTAACTATTATTTGGTCAAGTAACTGTTATGCAGCTCCAGGTGTTTTTTGCTAGGTACAACACAAAGCAAAAATAAAGGAATTTGCACCGAAGTAGAAAAACATCAGAATAATGAGGTAACCACAAGAGTGTCCAACACTCCATGTTCAGCAGCAAAGTTTCCGCAGAGTTTTTGGTGCTTGCAGGTATTTTCTCAAGATATAATACTAGAACATGAAAAGCAATGACCAAGTCCCCCAAAATTTTCAGAAATTTAAATAACAGGAAATTTAAACAATAGAACATTTAAAACCTATGAAGAATAATACATAAAAAATAATTAATTAAAAATCTCTCAAATGACATAGGGCCCTGAGAATACAGAATCACAGAATCTCTAGGTTGGAAGAGACCTCAAGATCATCGAGTCCAACCTCTAACCTAACACTAACAGTCCCCACTAAACCATATCCCTAAGCTCTACATCTAAACGTCTTTTAAAGACTTCCAGGGATGGTGACTCCACCACCTCCCTGGGCAGCCTGTTCCAGTGCCTAACAACCCTTTCAGTAAAGAAGTTCTTCCTAACATCTAACCTAAAACTCCCCTGGCGCAACTTTAGCCCATTCCCCCTCGTCCTGTCACAAGGCACGTGGGAGAACAGACCAACCCCCACCTCACTACAGCCTCCTTTAATATATCTGTAGAGTGTGATAAGGTCGCCCCTGAGCCTCCTCTTCTCCAGGCTGAACAAGCCCAGCTCCTTCAGCCGCTCCTCGTAGGACTTGTTCTCCAGGCCCCTCACCAGCTACGTCGCCCTTCTTTGGACCCGCTCAAGCACCTCCATGTCCTTCTTGTAGCGAGGGGCCCAAAACTGAGCACAGTACTCGAGGTGCGGCCTCACCAGAACCGAGTACAGGGGGACGATCACCTCCCTAGCCCTGCTGGTCACACTGTTTCTGATACAAGCCACTGTTTCTGATACAATACTCCTCACAGTTATGTCCATTGTTCCATATTATTATAACTGTCGCTTCAGATGATAAGCACAAATAGAAGTGAAAAAGTTATATTATACAAGGGAGATAAACACACTGATCTCTTCCTTAGCAGAACAGAGACTTACTCTTCTGAATGTTGCGCTGCTAACAATCTGGCGGATGCAAAATTCAAGTCTAACCTCTTCTGAGCAAGTTTGCCAATATTTTCAATTGCATGTTTTTTAAAGCTGGCTTAATATTTTGTTAAGTGCTGCCATGGAAATTCATGTGTGATATTTTTATGGAATCAATGTCCTGAGAAGAAATTGTAACTCAGTGTTGTGAGCTCTTCTTGGTTATGAGCCTTTCATACCAGGCAACAGAAAGGAAGAAAACTATCCTCAGAAAAGGGAACATGCTCCAGGATCCTGCTTTCCCCAGATGCCCTTAACACGAGGCAAAAAAGTCAAACTCTTTTCTTCCTTTCCTTGCTGTCATACTTCACAAAAGAAGTTGACCCAAATTCAGTAGCAAGGTGAACAGTTCTGTCATCTCACCTGAACAACATAGAACTGTCTGCTGGTGTTATGGGCTGAGAACTCAACACCCCGTATCTTCTCCATTTCTGAAATAATGTGCTCACTGACAGGACTATTATGCAAAATGTGGCTCGTGATACCACAATGCAGCAGGTGCTTTCCAAGAAAGCATAAGACCTGTTCAGTCAGGTACCACCACTATGAAAATGATAAAGATCCAGAGACTGGGTGTCTAGAAGAGACAGGGCCTGGTGCTGCAGGGACTAATTTCAGAGGATCTAAATTAAAAACTGCTCCCTGGTGTTGTTTCTTTTTAGTTATAAAACGGAACCACTTCTGTTTACATGGCTTAGGTTCTAAGCAACTCAGAAACTGTCTTCTTCCTAGTGCGTTACCATGGTATTGTAGATTAGCTGAGGTTAGTATGTAAGAGAGGAGGCTGGAGAAAGTGCATTTCAGCAAAGACACTTGCCTCTGCAGCCCATGTCTCAAACCTGCAGTTAGCAGATTTTCTTTTAGTTTAAACTGTAAAGCTTGCATATTTGCCAATCATACTTTTCTCGGGGAAATATTACTGCATGGCTGCAAGCATTACTATGCCTGCCATTCACAAGACTGACCATCATTCAGAACTTCATTTTTGAAGAAGAAATTTTATCATAATATCATAAAATTGGCTTGACAATGGTTTCTTACATTTATTCCTGTGTAAGAGCTTTTGAACACTGATTCATTCATTCAGCAGATCACTTATTTCTTCATTCATACAGCACACTTTGCCTTTGATGGACACTAACTGTAGGAGTTGTTTCCAGTAAAAGGGCATTCTTGAACAAGTTCCAACTGAACACAATCACTTGCAAATGATAAAATACTGCGCTGTATGCACAAACTGATAAACACATTTTTTCTATAACATACCCATGAATTGCAAGTAATATACATCCAATACCCTGTAAAATGTATTTTTGTTTAGAGAGCGAGTGAATTTAGATTTTTAAATTACTAACAATTCGTTTATAATAAAACGGAGGTTAAGATCAATGATCAGGTTTCATACCTAGCTTGGTGAATAGCTTCTACCCATTCATCTCCATCAACTTCATCCTCACAACGGAGCTCCAGTGGCTTCTGCCCTTCATGGCCAAATAGAACAGTAAAGTAATACTGCAAATTAAAACAAGAAAAAACAAAAGTTCAGAAACTCTTTTAAATAGAACAGATACATAAAATTTCAAAAAAGAATCTGACTTTTTAAATATAGTGCACACTATTGCCAGCCTAGGAAAACGTGTTTTAAGCCAACGGTCATGAAACACAAACTGAAGATGAAAATAAATCTGTAACATATTCTCCCCTGAATTGATGTAATGCCTTTCATGCAACTTACCATAATTTATTATTCTTAAACTTCCACATACAAGACAACAGAATATAATTCCCTCAGTAGCTTCTACGGTCAAATACAATAGTGGGTGTCAAATACAAGTGGAGTGTCCATAGTTCTTTTTTTCTTGCACTTTTTCAGCTGAGATTTTTCTTAGATGCCATCACAAGGATACCAAATTCAGTAATGACACAACTTCATCACAAGAATGTGCACTGGGTCTAGATGATTTCTTCACCATTGCAAAAGAACGAGACAAAACTTCTTGTTTCCCACACTCCAAAACTGTTTTTCCCTTCTTTTGAGAAGCCCCAGCCATAATCATCATTGCAACATATATATATATATATATATGTATATATATATATGTGTATTTTTAAATGAAAATGCTGTTCATAAAAGAAGCATCATATACTTTGATGGCATTTCTTACATAGAGGACTTCACCTGTGGCATGTTCTGTAGAACGCAGAATTTCAAAGAAGTTTTTGCCTTTATCATAATGTAGTCTTACCTAATAGGGAGGGGAAAACCTCCTGTCATCTACTTTAAACCACATTTCACAAGGTTACTTACAGTCAGATAGTAAACAGTATTATTCTGATTTAGGTGAAAACAGGTGAGAAAATGTTCTAACTAAACACACACCTGCAATTTCAATAGATGCCTTAAATGCAGCCATTAGCAAGCCAGCTGTTTCACAGGTGGGGGCACCTGTGATGGGCCTGCCCACACACAGTCTGCAGTTTTTAGATTCAGTGTGATTCAGGAGGCCTTGGAGCCAAACATTTCCTCACTAGACTATTCAGTTTTCTTCAATATCTACCATTTTTTAACCTCTCTTCCTTCATCAGCACAATTAACAAGGAACTTACTGTAACCACATGGCAGTAATCATTTTCTGGAATCTAACAGCAAATTCCACACTCACTCTAGCCAGCGAGTGAGGTATGCAATTTACATTCTCCCACTCCATGAGCCACTGTTTACAGCAGTAAGTAACCTGAAGTGATGTCAACAAACATTCTGCTTTCCTTGTCAAATCCACAGCTCAGCTGAAAAAAAAAAAAACAAAAACAAACAAAAAAAAAAACAACTCTCCAAGCCAAGCAAAGTACTGGGGATCAAGAAAATAAAAACCACCTCAGAATAAAAAAAAAAAACATTTCCAAGGCAGGAGGAAGCATAAACAAGAAACAGAAGGGATGAAATTTTACCTACAGAGAATTGGCTGCAGATATTGTCAACATTTATAATGAACGCTGTCCCTACAAAAAAAAAAAAAAAAAAAAAAAAAAAAAAAAAGAGTGTTTCAGCCTGTTATTGGCCCCTCCTTAAACATCTGGTAGCCTGCTGTGCAGGCGCAACACACAGGTCAGCTGCACAGTCTGCACAGAGCAGGTTCAATACACCCCTGGTGAAATAGATTCACTGGCACCAGCACTGTGTGTGCACCTGTATTTGCATCTAGGTTTGTGCCTGGGGACTTCACATTTACAAAACCCATCTGCCTCTGAGCTTCTGATTATGCTCCAACGTTTGCTTTCATTTTAGGTAACATGAGTATATATGATGGCATTCCACAAAAATAAAACTATTCATCTGTGAATTGTATTATTTACTAAAAAATGTTACATGTATACAAAACTTTTTTTCATACAGAAGACCACAAATACTGCAGGATCAGCAGCCGATGATTAAAACAACGGAAGCAAGACAAAACAAGCAGAAATATTCACATTTTAAAAGTCCATGCAAAGAAAGTTCAGGCCCAGACCAGCTGAGTTTTTGAAAGAAAACTACTTAAGTGCACAGCCAAAGTTTAATAAATCATTCAAAGGACAAATCATTCTTATTTTTCCTAATTTCTTCAATTGCCTAATCCTGCATTTTTTCAACAATAAATCACTTTTCACTTAAATCTAAATTCCATTAAAAGGGAAAAAAAAAAAAAAGAGTTCCGTAAGATTGTTCAGATGGTTTCATAACAGTGTTAGACAAAAGCTTTTATAATCATGCAGGGCAGCTGAAGTATCAATCCAGCATCAATATCAATTATCACTTGATTTATCCAGAAGTCAACACCATAGTAAGCAAAATGCAAGCAAAGTATTATAGCACACCTCTAAAAAGAATCTCTAAGACACCCCTGAATTTTAACTCCTTTTAAAATAAATGTCATTTATCCAGCAAAGTATCTTACTATAAGAAAATGAGATGGCATCCATGATGCTGTCCTGCATATTCAAGTTTACGATGAATGTGAATGGACTTACGTAAATATATCTATTTATACATAGATATATAATTTTAGCACTACCATGCTATCTGATAAACAATTCAGCTTCCACATCACTGCAATTTATACAGTATATGTAAAAAACACCTTTCTGTATACACCCTATTAGTTTTCTGAAGTGATGATAGTGAGTATTTATGAACTACAGGACACATTTACACCAACTATCATCATCACCATTCATCAGGTCTGTTGGACACGCAGGCAGGCACTCATGTTTCAAATTAAGCCCATGGTTTGGTTGGACAATTTATTATTATTATTATTGTTTCCTCTAAAAGTCCTTAGTCTCATAGAAGATAAAATGAACAATTTGTATTTTGATATAAAACATACCTGTTTGTTTCATTTAAAGGTACCTTTTCAGTATTCATATAAGCACGAGAAAAATAAGTCTTCATGTTAACTGAAAGATCTTTGCCAGAGAACTTCTCCTAAGCTGACGCTAGACAAGGACACTACCACTAGAGGAATATTACTGAGTATCACGTCTCTGGCTGTAGTCCACCTAGCACTGCTCCAAGTTCCTTCCTACGGTGAGAAGGGATGAAATGAGCTGATCATTACTTCTACTTCAGAGAAATGACCAGAACAAGACTAAAAACTTGACAGAAAGTACTTCACCAGAGCATTTCAATGCCACTCATTATGCTGAAATCTCAGCATTAATATATATAACTTTGTCCTTATAAAGTTGTCCAGATAATAGCTGTATTCAAAATAAGGCAGCAAAAGGTTTAATGTTACCATGCTTTCTAAAAGGGGAAAAACATGCTCTCTGCTGGTAAAAAAATAAAATAAAATAAAATAAAATAAAATAAAATAAAATAAAATAAAATAAAATAAAATAAAATAAAAATGAAAATACATGCCTTATAGCCAACACCTCTTTTAGAGCATACTAGGGTAGATTTTCCATCAATACAAACACCCTGAAGACTAAATTTCTCAACAGCAGCATGCTGTTTCCCTTGTGACTGATGAGAGCATTTGCTGTTTATGAGGTGAGAGTCACACCAACACAGGCAGCACTCTCCCAATAAGCAGGGATGGTCCCGCAGCTCACTCTTTTCTCTCCACCTCACATGGAATCTGCAAAGGATATCTCTGCTCTGTCCCTTGATAACTCATCGCTGTGCCTATTTCATCTGTTTACTACTTTTTGTCCCCTAGCACTGAGGTAATCTGACACATCTTTTCCATTTGTAAATTAGAAGCGACACTTGCAAAAGAAGCATCTATTTGAAGTTACTGAGACACCAGAGGACCAAGAGGAACGAGCACGAATCCTCCCGTAGCGGTGCTGCCACATGTCACAGACTGAAAAGCTACTTCCACAGGTAATAATGCTGCCTGACATCTGCTATTACAAGCTCCTGCCTTCCACTCCTTGTAAATTTGACCAGCTTTCAGTGCCTGAATGGAAAAACTCATACTGCGTAAAAGATGCATGTGTCAACAGTGGTTTTGCTATCTTATCCTTTCCTCAGCACAGCATATGAACATTTAAATTATGTTTCAAAGGACTCCAAGGTGACTACCAAATGTAGTACTGTGGGCTTGTAAATGATTGTAGTGGGGTAATAGCTACTTGCCTATGCATTGCTTTTCCCTAAATTTTCCTTATTAAACATAAAACTAATTTTCTTCATAGTACACTAAAAGAAAAAAAAAAAAAAAAAAACATTTTAAAGTTTAAGCATGTTATTTCCTAACATTTTCTAATGTTATTTCCTGATCTGTCAATGACGTAACATGCAGTTCATACCAACTGTATACCTTTGTATACCAAGATTGCTACTGAAAATTAAGTCTTAGAATAGATTATAGAATTATCAAGGTTGGAAAAGCCCTCCAAGATATCTGGTCCAACCATCCCCCTACCACCAACATCACCCACTAAACCATGTCCCTAAGCACCACATCCAGCCTTTCCTTGAACACCCCCAGGGATGGTGATGCCACCACTTCCCTGGGCAACCCATTCCAATGCCTGTCCACTCTTTCTGAGAAGAAACGTTTCCTAATTTCCAACCTAAACCTCCCCTGGTACAACTTGAGGCCATTTCCTCTGGTCCTACCACTAGTTACCTGTGAGAAGAGGCCACTCTGCCCCAAGCCTGTAGCACTGCATGAGTTATTGTGTCCAAAGTGCAGGACCCAGCACTTAGCCATGTTGAACCTCATCCCATTGGCCTCTGCCCATCAATCTGGGCACCAGTCTGGGTCCCTCTGCAGGGCCTTCTTACCCTCCGGCATACCGACACTTCCCCCCAACTTCCTGTCATCTGCAGACTTACTGAGGGTGCACTCAACAACTTTGTCTTAACAAAGGCATGTCTTCAACATGAAATAATGAGGAAGCTTAAACATTTGCTGTATCATTGACGCTTACATTCACAACCTGATGTTTATAAGGGCACACTGAAAATCTTTTGAGGGTAAAAGAGATGGGAAAGACAACTAATTAAGATTGAAGGA